GAGCGCGGAGACTCTGCTGTGGCACCGCTGTACCAGGCCGCGAGAGGGGAGTGGGAGGCAGCTCCCCCCGCGGAGGAAAAAGGGTGCCATCCCTCGCCATCTCTCGCCATCTCTCGCCATCTCTCCCCATCTCTCGCCATCTCTCGCCATCTCTGCCCATCTCTCGCCATCTCTCGCCATCTCTCGCCATCTCTCCCCATCTCTCCCCATCTCTGCCCATCTCTCCGAGGAGGAGGAGATCTCGGAGGAGATCTCGGAGGAGATCTCGGAGGAGATCTCGGAGGAGGAGATCTCGGAGGAGGAGATCTGCCGGAGATCGGAGGAGGAATCTCGGAGGGATCTCAACGGCAATCTCGCGCAATCTCGCGCCTGCTCGAGTAGTGAGCCCGGCACGTCCGCCGGCGGCGCCTTCTCCGCCCTCTCCCGCCCCTTGTCTGCCTTGTCCTGCCGCTCGCGCAGCTCCTAAGGTGCCGGCGTGGAGAGGAGGGAGGGAGGGGGGGGGGGGGAGAGGAGCTGGGGCGAGATTGCGCGAGATTTGCATCTCCCGCCGCGCGCGCCCGTCCCCCCCCGCCAGAGGCAAACGCCAGTCCGAGTTCGCGCGCGCGCGCGCCCTCTCCCCGTTCTCTCGCCGCCAAGCACGCACCGCCGCCGCTGCCGCCACAACCGCCGCCGCCCCGGTGCCCGCCCCTCGCCCCTTACCGCCACCCTCACCGCCGCCGCCCTCACCGCCGCCGCCCTCACCGCCGCCGCCCTCACCGCCGCCGCCCTCACCGCCGCACCCGACGCCGCCGCCGCCCCGCCACCCCCCCCTGGCTCTCCGCGTCTCCGCACCTCAGCGTCTTCGCCAGCGTCGCCGCCGTCGTCGCCGCCGCCGTCGCCGCCGTCGCCGCCGCCGTCGTCGTGCTTCGGGCGTGCGGGTGGGACCTGAGCATAGGGATAGGGCCAGGGTAGGGCGGGGCAGTCGAGGCGGACGGACGCCCAGAGTTGGTGAGAGGTGGCAAGAGGTGGGGAGAGGTGGGGAGAGGTGGGGAGAGGTGGGGAGAGGTGGGGAGAGGTGGGGAGAGGTGGGGAGAGGTGGGGAGAGGTGGGGAGAGGTGGGGAGGTGTGGGGAGAGGTGGGGAGGGGTGGGGAGGGGTGGGGAGGGGTGGGGAGATGTGGGGCCGTCGAGACGGACGGCCGCGGCGAAGGAGCGGCGGGCGGGGGCGAGGGAGGAGAGAGGCGGGGGAGGAGAGAGGCGGCGGGCGGGGGCGAGGGAGGAGAGAGGCGGGGGAGGAGAGAGGCGGCGGGCGGGGGCGAGGGAGGAGAGAGGCGGGGGAGGAGAGAGGCGGCGGGCGGGGGCGAGGGAGGAGAGGAGAGGCGCCAGGGAGGAGGGAGGAGGAGGGGGCGTCACCTTGAGCTGAGGGCACTCCTTCCGCCGGTGCCCCTCCTCTCCGCACAGGAAGCACTTGATGAGCTTCGGCTCCTTTGCCCGTAGGGGATCGCCGTGCCCGTTGCCGCCGCCGCCGTTTGCCGCCGCCGCCGCGGCGTCGCCGGCGGCGGCGGAAGAGTCGCGAGCGACGCACTTGTGGTTCTTGAAGGAGGCGATGTCGCGCGCGGCGAACACCTTTGGGCAGCGCAGGCAACGCCGCACCTGCTCGCCCGGCCTCGCGCCCTCCGCCACCAGCTCCGAGTCTGCGAGCTCGGGCGGCGGCGGCCGGTCGGCGTCGGCGGCGGGCCTGGTGCGCTTGGCGGGCGGCTCCTTCTCCTTGTCGGATGGGGCGGCGGGAAGCGGCTCCTTGTCGGCCAGCTCCTTGGCGAACCGTTCGCGCCGCCGCTTCCGCCGCGCAACCTCGTCGTCATCCTCGTCGTCGCTCCCCGCTGCAGACGCCGGCGCGGCGACCGGCGGGGACGGCGCGGGCTCGTCGGCGGACGGCGCGGGCGCGGGCGCGGCGTCGGCGGGCTCGGACAGCGCGGCGGGCGCGGGCGTGGGCTCGGCGTCGGCGGGTGGGGCCTCCATCGTGTTGCGCGCGTGGCCCGGCAGGCTGTGGTTGCCGGCTAAAAGAACTAGTTTGCCGGAGCCGGGGGTCTCCGGCGCTCGGCTTGAGAGGGGAGCGGAGGTAATCATGCTCAACATTCATTAGAACTGATCACTTTGCGCAGCAGCCGTCCCTTCGCCGACTGGACGGCAGTGTGCTGCGCCGTCGCTCTGTCGTGCACGCTCTCGTGCTTCGTTGTGACACGGGAGTAGAGTCGAGAGGTAGCCCTCGACGAGACGACCGGCGCTGCGATGCCAGACCTCACTGCCGCCGACGGCGGCGGCGGCTACGGCGGCGGCGGCAAGGGCGTCGGCGGCAAGGGCGTCGGCGGCAAGGGCGTCGGCGGCAAGGGCGTCGGCGGCAAGGGCGTCGGCGGCAAGGGCGTCGGCGGCAAGGGCGTCGGCGGCAAGGGCGTCGGCGGCAAGGGCGTCGGCGGCAAGGGCGTCGGCGGCAAGGGCGTCGGCGGCAAGGGCGTCGGCGGCAAGGGCGTCGGCGGCAAGGGCGTCGGCGGCAAGGGCGTCGGCGGCAAGGGCGTCGGCGGCAAGGGCGGCGGCGGCAAGGGCGGCGGCGGCAAAGGCGTCGGCGGCAAGGGCGGCAAAGGCGGCAAGGGCGGCGGCGGCTGGGCCGGCGTCGGCTGGGGCCGCGGCTGACTACTCAATGGCCGGTGTGTGCGCCCGTCCCCTCCCCTTTCTGACCCCCTCCCCCCCCCCCCACACCCCACCAGAGCCCCCAGCTTTGCGAGACGTGAGGCGGGTGGGGGGCCCACAAACCACTCCGTCAAGGGGGTGGGGTGAGATCTGGCGGGCTGTGATGTGGCTTGCTCCCCCCGCACCACGGCCGCTGAAGCGAGCTGGGGTACCATGGGGGGGGGGGGGGCCGCGCCCACCCGGCTAAGCCGGCAGATGGGCGCAGAGCTCATGGGATGGGCTCCAGACTTGGGGCTCTCCCCATGCGCCTCTAGCCCGCGCATGCCCCTCTCCCCACGCAGTCCCCGATTCTCCCTGATGCAAGGATGACCCAGAGCTGCGCGACACCGGTGTCGGGCTGGCAACACCCGGCACCACCCCAGAGGGACTCACTGGGGGAGGTGAAAGTGCGCGCGGAGTCGGGCGACATGCAGCGGAAGTCCTGACCTCGGTAGGTGTGTCGTCCTCCTGCGCTGGGCCCTGACGTGGGTCCCGCCAGACGGGCGTCCCCCGCGACCTGCACGTCGCTATGGCTCCTACAGATAAAATAAATGACCATTCTCGGTGTCCAAAGCCCCCAAAACCTATCCAAACCTTATTTATTCGACGAACCAGACCTCCCCCGGACGCGGGGGGTCGAGTTCTGGCGATATAACATGACTATCATGCAACAGTACAACATGTCGGTCCACGCCCCGGGCGCCAGACAGACCTCTGCCGGCACCCCCCACACGCCCTCCGCGCCCTCCGCGCCCCACACACCGAGCGGGGCGCACGCCGCCCGATCGCCGCCGCCGCTCCGCGCCCCCCCCACGCCCAGGCACCGGCGCCTACTCGTCATCGACGTCCGAGCCAGCGCAATCCGACTCATCGTCGGACCCGCCGGAGCAGCTCAGGTCGCTGTGTCGGAGTCGCCGTCCGAGGAGTCGGCGTCCGAGTCGGCGCCGGCGTAGATCGCACGGGCGGCAATAGCGCGTTGCGGGCGCGGGGGCGGCTGCCGCGACGGCCCCGACCGCGGCGCCTTGCTCGACGTCGGCGGCTTGTCGCGCGCCCGCAGCTGCCTCTTCGTGAGGCGCTTGCCGGACTGGTTCTTGGCCAACATCTGCCGGCCGCCCGACATGATGTGGCCCGGCGCGGGGCCGGCCGCCTGAACGGCGGTCCGCTTCGCCCCTTTGCGCGCCTTGAGTGACTCCTTGCCGTACCTAGACCGCCGACGGGCAAGGCCGAGTCAGGCGCGGTACGGCATGGGCGGGCTGGGCGGGCCGGGGCCGGCGGGGCCGGGGCGGTGTGTTATGGAGCATCTACTCGGGTCACCCGGTGCCCTTGCTCTTCTTGACCGAAGCACCCGGCGCAAGCAGCGGGTTGAGGAGGTGCCGGTCGGCCTCGGGCGGGGCGACCTGACGCCGCGCGCACGTCAGCAGCTGCGGCGCCGCGGTTCGCTCGATCCGACGCGGCGAGGCGGCTGGAGAGGCCGTTACACTTGTTGCGGAGTGCTCCAGCCTCACTCTGCGCCGCATCGCGCTCCGCCGCCGCCCGTTTCGCTCGAACCTCCGCCTCCGCCCGCTTGCGCTCGGCCGCCAGCGCCGTCAGCCGGTAGTCCGCCGACGTCTCGCGCGCGTCAGCCATGACCTCGCTCTGCAGCCGCTCCCGCCACTGCTCGGCCTCGGCCGCGTCGCGCGTGCGCTTTCGCAGGAGCTCTTGCCTAGCCGCCGCCTCCGCGCCGTCGGCACGCGCCTCCGCCGCCTCGGCGCGCTCCTCCGCCGCCGCTGCCGCTGCTTTGGCATCCTGCAACGCCCGCATCGCCCGCTTGTTGTCCTGCCGCAGGCTCTTGTTGCGCTGTCGCTGCTCGTCGTTCGTCTGCTCGCGCCGCCGCACGGCATGCTCGGCCGTCTCGGCGCGCTCGCGCCACACCGCCTCGCGCCGGCTAAAAGAATTTTAATGCAACCCGATGCCAATCATCCGGCCCGCTGGGTGCGCTTCTCAGCTCCCCGGCCCTGGGTGTGCGGTTGCCGACTGCACTCCAAGTGCTCCAAGTGCACTACACAGGGATGCCTGCGAGAGGCACGGGAGACTGCCGGCCATCGCGGCGGCCTATCCAGCCTTACGCGTACGGCGGCCTGCTGCCGGCGCGGCCGGGCACTCCAGGAATTTATTTTGAGTACTCTCGTAAACTCGTGACGCTTGTGGGGCTAGTATGTTGTTTTCTGAGGGCGTCCGGGGCGGAGGAGTATTTTTTTGTGCGCGCGGGCGGCCGGGGGCGGCCCCTGGGCGCCCTATGGCAGATTTTTTACAATCGAACACACCCGGGTTCTTTGTGGGTGTGGTCGGCGACTAGCCGGGGTCGTCCTCCCGATGGGGGACTAGCACTAGCCGTCTTCCACATGGTCCCTCGGGTCCCTGCTGCTCCTAATCTCGTCGTACATCCTCCTGCTGATCTCCGCAACATCCTGCTCCCTCCCTCGTCTCGCCCTGCGCGTCTGCTCCGCCTCACCGTCGTCTGCTCTGCGTCGACTGGTGACGGGTGTCCTCCATAGTCGGTTGAGGTCGCCGCCCTCCTCGTGCCTCTTCCCAACGTTCCCTCGGGTCCGCTCCGGCTCCCCAGTCCCCGGGTCTGCCCTGCTCTCTTCTGCGCTAGCTTCTGTTTCGTCATCACTGATGTCCGTCCTCTTCAAGCTCTCGGGGCAGCCCCCTTTTTCCTCCGAGCTCCGTCGCAGCCCCCTCTCTCGTCGCCAATCTCGTTGGACGTTGCTCGTGCTGTCGAGGCGGAGAACACGGGGCGCCCGCACGTCGGCAGACGGCAGGACACCGGACCGGCGGACGCAGTCTCGGCCCGTCGGGGCTCTCGCAGAGAGTCCGGGCGCAGAAAGAGAAACCAGAATCTGCGTACTGCGTTTGTTTTCTGCGTGACGCAATTTTCATGGCGAGACAGTGAGAAGTTGAAGCTTGAGACCTTCCCTCCAAGAACGCTTAGCGTACGCATCCCATCTGCCATCTCTCTGCTTGCCCACGCAAGACGCGGCCTCATCTCGCTTCACGGCGCGTGTAGAATCTCTCCAACCCCCCCCCCCCAAATCTCTCTCCAACGGCCTCTCTGTATGGAGTACTAGGCGGAGATTGTCGCCGCACGTCCGCCGCGCGGCTCCAGGTCTCCCCCGAAACAGCATCCCCTGCCACACGGCGGTTTGCGTGTGCCGCCAGGGCGGGGGTGCGTGTGCGGGTGACTGCGTGCATCTGCCGCTGCGGCGGTGCCGCACGGCGCAACACCGCAGCCTCGACGGCGACACATCGAAGCCTCGCGCAGCCGCAGCCAATCCCGGCTCGGCTGAGGTGGGGCGGGCGGGCGGCGGGCGCGCTGCTCAGCTCGCGAATCGCTCTGGCTGCCGCACGCGCCTATTCACAGCAGTGGGGTGTGCAGAGACGCTGTTCACACCTCCTCGTAAAGCCTGGCTGGCGCACGCGCAGCATCTCTTGCCAGACGAGGGCGCGCAGCTCCTCCTTGCTTGCGCCGCGCCCCTCAAAGTCCATCTCGATGACGGGCACTTCGAGCGCCTCCTCGGGCGCATCCCGGTACGCGGCGAGGTACGGGTGGCGCAGCGCCTGCGGGGAGATGTGGGGAGATGTGGGGAGATGTGGGGAGGTACGGGTGGCGCAGCGCCTGCGGGGAGATGTGGGGAGATGTGGGGAGATGTGGGGAGGTACGGGAGGCGCAGCGCCTGCGGGGAGATGTGGGGAGATGTGGGGAGATGTGGGGAGATGTGGGGAGGTGTGGGGAGGTACGGGTGGCGCAGCGCCTGCGGGGAGATGTGGGGAGATGTGGGGAGATGTGGAGGAGATGTGGGGAGATGTGGGGAGGTACGGGTGGCGCAGCGCCTGCGGGGAGATGTGGGGAGATGTGGGGAGGTGTGGAGAGGTGTGGGGAGGTGTGGAGGGGATGTGGGGAGATGGGCAGGAGATGTGGAGGAGATGTGGGGAGATGTGGGGGGGTGTGGGGGGGTGTGGGGGGGTGGGGGGAGATATGTGGGGGGGTGTGGGGAGATGTGGGGAGATGTGGGGAGATGTGGAGGAGATGTGGGGAGATGCGGGGAGGTGTGGCGAGATGTGGGGAGGTGCGGGTGGCGCGGCGCCTCTGCGGCGGTCGGGCGGCGGCGCGGGTCGAACTGGAGCAGCTGGTGGATCAGGTCGAGGAGCTGCGGGTTCGCCAACGGGAAGAGGGACCTACCAGCGGGAGACGGTGGGCTTTCTTTTCTTTCTTCCACCTGCGGGCGGGCGGCCAGCTGGGTAAGACGGGGGACCCGTAGGTGGCGGCGGTCGCTGGCTCGGTTGCGCGAGGCCGCAGCGACGCCACGTAGCGCACGGCCTGCTCATTCTCGATGAGGGCGAGCTCGGCGGCGGACGGCGCGCCGAGCCGCTCGATGATGAGCTTGAGCTGGTGCAGCGAGTCCTTGCCTGCAGTCTCGGGCAATCTCGGGTCATCTCGGCCAATCTCGGGGGGTGAGGCGGTGCAGCGAGTCCTCGCCTGGGAAGAGCGCGCGTGTGCCGAGCAGCTCCGCGGCGATGCAGCCCAGCGACCACATGTCGACCGCCGCATCGTACCTAACAATAATAATAATAATATATAATCATAATAATAGCGACCACATGTCGACCGCCGCGTCGTACCTCTGGTTCTGGACGAGCAGCTCGGGCGCGCGGTACCAGCGCGTGACCACGTACTTGGTCAGCGAGCCGAGCCCCGCGCCAGTGCCGCCCGGCGGTGGCTGCATGCTGCCGTCCGAAGAGCGGCGGGAGGGCGGGGCGGCGCCGCAGGCAGCGGCGGCGCCAATGTAGCGCGCGAGGCCGAGGTCGGCGAGGGCGAGCTCGCAGTCGCGGTTGAGCAGGATGTTGGTTGGCTTCATGTCGCGGTGCACCACGCCTAGACACTTCCTAGACACTTCCTAGACACTTCCCTTGGTTGGCGTCAGGGCGCGGTGCACCACGCCGGCGGCATGCAGGTAGCGGAGCGCGCGGAAGGCCTGGCGGGAGATATGGGGAGACATGGTGAGAGATGGCGGAGATATGGCGGAGATATGGGGAGATATGGCGGAGATATGGGGGAGATTGCGCCTGCCAGAGGATGTACTGCACGTGCTCGTCCGAGAGCGGCTGGCCGCTGTAGATCACGCGGTGGAGGTTGGTGTCGTACAGCCGCGTCACCAGGTAGACGTCGCGCCAGTTGCTGCAGGAGAGGGACGGCGAGGGCAGCATGTCGAGCAGCTGCAGGACGTTGGGGTGGCGGAGCACGCGCAGCAGCCGCACCTCCCGCAGCAGCCGCTTGGCGTCCGTCCGGTCCGCGAACGGGTCGAAGATCTTCTTGACCTGAAGACAGAAACGACGCCCGTATTTCTTTTTCTCTCCGTCCGGTCCGCAAACGGCTCGAAGATCGTCTCGACCGCGACGCAGCCCGCGTTGCAGCGCTCGGCGTCGGCAGCGCCTCCTCCTCCTCCTCCTCCTCCTCCTCCTCCTCCTCCGCCGCCGCCGCCGCCGCCGCCGCCGAGAGCGTCGTCGGCGGCGGCGACGATACCGTATGCGCCCTTCCCGACGACGTTGCGCATCGTGTAGCGAGCGTCGACCTCGAACTGGACGCCTCCCACGACCGCGCTCACCACGCGGTAGGCCAGAGACTCGTCCCGCCCGCTGTCGGCGCCGGCCCGCACCGCCGCCGTCGGCCTCGCGCTCCACCCCTCGCCCGGCGTCCTCCCCACCCCCACGCCGCCGCCGAGCGACTTCTCTGCCGCAGCCGCGCCGCCGCCGCCGCCGCCGCCGCCGCCGCCGCCGCCGCCGCATGACCGTTGCTGACTGGCCAACCCGCCGCCGCCGCCGCCGCCGCCGCCGCCGTATTCGCCCGCGCACCCGCCCGCCGGGCCGACGGCGCCGGCCTCGCCGAACGCGCGCCCTCCCCGTCCGTAGTTTGGCGCGTACTCTGCCCCCGTCGCGTCCTCGCCCGTCGCGGTGCCAGAGCCGCCGTCGCCGCCTCCGCCGACGCCTAATGGGCCGGAAGGGGCGGCGCTCGTCGCAGGCTGGCGGTAGCAGACGGCGGAGGCGGCGGGGGAGGTGCCTGTCGAGGAGGAGGCGCCGCCGCCCTCCGAGATCGGGCTTTGCCGCATCGGCTCCGTCGCCGCGCCTCCGTGGCTCTTTGGCGACCCAAAGCCTGAGCTGGCGTCGGAGCTGCTGCTCATGCTCGTCACGTCGCTGCCGCCCGTCGACCTCCAGTCGTCGACCGCCTGCCGCCCGCCCGCCGCCGGGGCCGGCAGCGGATGGGCATTCGCCTTCGAGTACCTTTCGGAGGGGTCCTTGGAGCTGTGCCTGGAGCTGGCGTCGGTGCAGCCGGAGGCGGAGGATTGGCGCTCGGATTTGCCGTCCGAGACCTTCCTGAACCAGTCCCAGATCGGCATGGACGGTCCTCTCAGATGGAGAGCACCGAGAGGACTCCAGAGCGTCTCAGCGTGCAGGAAACAGCGTGCACAGTCGTTCGCAAACTTGAGCTTCGGAGCGGGGCGGGCGCTGTGGCTGTGTGAAGGCGCCGAGAGTACCAGCAAACTTGAGTGAGTGTGTGTCCCAGCTATGGGCGTGTCCACGTTGGAGCCAGGTGTGGTGTGGGCGCGAGAATAGCTCCGCCGTTAATGGAGGCAACCGATGCGAGTCGACTGGTGTGGTCGTGGTTTCGTATCAAGAATGTGTGTCTCGCGCCTTGCGGGGGGGGGGGGGGGGGAAGGAGGAACCTCTTCCCAAGAGCACCACTCTTGGAGCGCCGCCACTACCACCCAGAGCGCTGCAAGGTAGCAGCGTCGGGCAATGACGGCTTACCGCCCACCCAGCCCCCCCTCGGCACACCCCGGCAGCCAATGTGTGACGGCTCGAACCCGCTAAGCCATCCCGCAAGCGGGATGGCCCGCCACTCGAACCCGCAAGCGGGCGTACGAACCGCGAGCGGCTCGCACTCGTGACACGCAGGCGTCCGACAGAAGGCGCCGGGGCTAGGCGACCGAAGAGGAACTACGGCAAGAACCGCACACCACCCGCTGACGAGCGCTCGCGGAACTGGTCCGCAGCGCCCGCCAGGGGCGTGCGCGAGGCAGGGCTCGAAGCCCTTTTCTGTGAGCAGGGATTCCCTCCCGGCGGGGGTTGTGGCGGAGAGCCGGCATGGGAATCGCCGGCCCCCACCCAGGGGGTGCCCCTGCCAGGCGCCGCAAGCGGTGCCCGACAGGGGCGGGTGCCCCCACCCCGAGGGGTGGGGGCGGAGTCGGGGCCCAAAGTGATATTCGGCCTATCGCCTCGGCAAGGTCCTCGGTGCGATTCTCCACGGTGTCGTCGAGCAAAAGCGCGGTAGCCGCGGAGGTGATGGCGTCGACGTCGGTGGAATCGGCTGGGTCAACGTCAATGTCGATAGCTCTTTCACGCCGGATCCCCTTATTGTCTCCGATGTGTCGCGCCTGCGCGCTCGGCGTGTATGAAATCCATATCACCCCCTGCTCCACGACTGGGGCTTTAGGCGGCCCGAGGGCGGGGCGCTAGGCGGCGGTTCGTTTTCGGGGGAGTCGGGTGGGTCATCGGCGTAGCTAGAGGCCCCATCACCGATGTCGTCGAGTGGGATGGTTGATGTACCTCCTCCGTTAATAACCACGTCGTCGCCCACGGTGCTGCTCTCCCCGTCGTCTGCGTCTGTTGGGACAGATTCGTCTTGCCACTCCGGCGCGCCGCAATCCCTCGCGCCGCTCCTGCCGAGGTCGGCTTGCTTATCGACGTAGTCGTTCCACTTATGACCACTGTGCCCCTTGACGTGTCTCCATGTCACTTCGTGCCTCGACGCTAAATGCCGCCACGCTGCTCGAAGATAGCTCGCTAGTTGTGCGTTCTCCCCCGGCGAGATTCTCCCCGTCGCACACGCCATCGCGTACTCGCTGTCCGTTCGGACCACCCCTCGTGAGCCTGCTGGTCGTGGTGCCGTGTGGAGTAGTGAGCGAAAAAGCTCCGCAAGCGCTGACAGCTCCGCCGTGTTATTGGTGTGTTTCCGCGCCCCCACGAAAGCGGCGTGTACGGGGCTAGTCACGACGGGGCCGTAGCTTTCGGTCACGAGCATGGCATTCACGTCGCATATGCCGTCCCCGCCCATGACTACGGCGTACGCCCATCCTGCCCTGCCTCCGTCTTCCGACCCATCAGTGTACGCCGTCCAGTCGGGCGGTTGCTGCTGAAGCTGTTGGGGCGTGGTGGCGTCCCGTCGACAGGGTCGAAGTATAACTCCTGACGCCTCCACCATCAGCCGCACTTTAACACGGCAAGCACCGCCCCTATCACAAGGCTCGACGCTGAGTAGTGCCATCGTGTTGCTTGTGCAATCATAAGAATACTCACTCACACACTCAGCAAACTTGAGCGTCGGATCGATGGCGATGGCGATGTCCGCAGAGAGGTCATCCCCAAACTCTTCTTTCGAGAGTGACAGGACCGCCGACTGCACGTAAAACGGCCACGTCGGGCCTTTCGCCAGCCCGCGTCGCCGCGGCAGAGGTTGTGAATGAAGCCGCCGGGCGGGAGAGACCCATCGCGCCCTTGCTTGGGGTCGAGAATCGTGCCAATGGGGCAGGCGAGGTCGTCCCCGCCGGGGCTTCCGCCGCCGCGCAGTGGGTGCGCGTCCTCCGTCGCGAGGACATCGTTCGTGGTGGAAGTCTTGCACGATCGACGGCGACTCCTGCGAGAAAAAGAAAATAACGAGCCGAAAAAGAATTTTCACCATGCCTCCGCCACGCGCCAGACAGCCCCTCCCGTGCTCCCGACGGGGACGCCACCACCCTCGCCCAGGGGGATCTACAATGCTGTCTCAAGGTCCGACAGGTTCGGCACCGGGCACCGCCTCGGTACACAAAATGCGCCTGCGGGCGGACCCTCACAGATCACAGATCACATCCCGATCTATCTCGAGCACTGCGAGACCACAAGGAGCCGCGGCCTCGCACTCTCGTCACTCCCCGCAGTGGGTTCGCACGCAACACACACGGGCCGCTCCGCCCCGCCCGCGTCGCGGTCGTCGCCGTCGTCGCCCCGGAGAAAGCGGAGCCCGTTCTCCGTCGTCGTGCGCGCCGCGCGCTCCAGCGTCCACCCGCGCGCGTCCGCGACGAGCCTCAGCGCCAGCGGCAGGGCGAGCGTCGCGCTCCGCTCGTCCGCGCAGTCCGACTCGACGAGGAGCTTCCGCTCGGGGACCTGGCGCAAGAGGAGGTAAGGTGAGGTAGGTAGACGTCCCCGCCCTCGCCCCCCACCCCGCACGCGCGCACACACGCACGCACCGAGCATGCGCGCTGAGTGTCTGCGCGTCTGCGCGTCGCTCCAGAGTGTCCCCGCTCTCCTGTCGCAGCCTCTCAACATCTCTCTCTCTCCGGTCGCAGCCTCTGAACATCTCTCTCCGGTCGCGGCCTCTCAACATCTCTCTCTCTCTCTCTCTCTCTCTCTCTCTCTCTCTCTCTCTCTCTCTCTCTCTCTCTCTCTCTCTCTCTCTCTCTCTCTCTCTCTCTCTCTCTCTCTCTCTCTCTCTCTCTCTCTCTCTCTCTCTCTCTCTCTCTCTCTCTCTCTCTCTCTCTCTCTCTCTCTCTCTCTCTCTCTCTCTCTCTCTCTCTCTCTCTCTCCCCGGGCACCGCGCGGATCGCGTCGAGCAACGCGGGCTGCGGCTCGGCGGCCCCGCCCATCGCGACGTTGACCGTGTGCGAGAAGCCAAAGTAGAGGCGCGGACCCGCGCGGGTGGAGAGGAGCTGGCCGATCTGGTGCGCGCTGCCCGAGAAGGAGTGCAGCCCGACAGCGGGAGGGAGGACGTCGAGGTCGTCGAGGGCGGCGACGAGGCTGCTGTGCGCCTTGACGCAGTGCACCGACGTGGGCCGCTGCAGCTCCGCGGCGAGGGCGAGCTGCGTGCGGAAGACGCGCAGTTGCTGCGGCCAGACCCTCGCCTTTGCACCCGGCCCGCGCAGGCTCCTCGCGCACTTGCAGAGCCCGATCTCGCCGACGAGGGCACGTGGGTGCTGCTGCAGGAGAGCGCGCAATCGCGCCTCCCACCCCTCGGCCACCTCGTGCGCCTGCCACGGGTGCACGCCAAGCCCCGGTAGGGAGCGTGGGCCCTCGGCGCAGCGCGCGAGCACAGAATCCCAGCAGGCCTCTGCCACCGCCAGCACAGCCTCGTAGCTGTCGCAACGGCGGACGGCGCCGCCCCCCGCGCTCTGGTGTAAGTGGTTGTGCGTGTCGACCAGCAGGAGGCCGGCGGAGACTAGGTCCGCGTCGACAGTCGAGAGCGGCGGCAGCGGCGACAGCGCGCAGCAGGGGCAGCGCGTGAACCCCATGTCGATTAAATTCCTACACCGACGGCTGCTCGCTCGTACCACCACCGAGGAGTGTGTGTGTAATACTCACTCACCACCACCGAGGAACCGTAAGAGAAGAAACGGGAAACGCGCTTGCTAATTCACAGGACAAGCCCTCCCCAGGGGCTTTGGGAATGCGCGAAGCGAAAAGCAAGAAACCGTCGCAGGAATTTCACAAAAAATAAAAAACCACACGTTGCGGATGGACGAGGCTCCGAAGACAAGCGGCGGCACGCCCGCCTCCGTTGGCCACTCCTACGCCTTCGGCAACACCGAAGAGAAGGCCCGCCGCCTAAACATGGGCTGCAAGGCGCGCGGGCAGCCCGGCCAACCCTTCTCCCACAAGACCGGCCACGGCTACGTCAAGGCGCATCGCGGTTTCTACCACGACGCGATCTTTGTCAAGCGCAACAACTTCAACCTGCTGCTCCACGAGACGTTCGGCGGCGGCTTCTCGCCCACCGCCGTTCTCAAACTGCGCCGCCTCGCGCGCAAAGTCGCGCGCGGCAGCGTCGACCGCACGGCCTACTCGCCCAAGTACTCGCTTTCTTTTATGTCCCACCATGCAGAGCGCATCTCTCTCTCTGTTGTGCGAGGCGTGAACCGCGCCATTCGCTCTCACCTGGCAACCCTGTCTGCACGTCTCGCGCGCGCGTGAACAGGGCTCCAGGCCCCAAATGACGTGTGAGTGTTAGATTTGTTTGGTATTGCTAAAAATCTCTCTCTCCGAAGACCATCTCCACTGCCGCTGGCATGCAGGCCGCTGCCAGTACCGCTGGCAGGGACGCTGCCAAGCCCGCCGCCGTCAAACCGCCGCTGCCGCCCATGATCGCCATCCCCGCCGTCCCCGAGGAGGTCAAGCGCGAAACGTTCGGGAGGAGCAGCGGGAGGCGCGCTGCGATGAGAGCGAACCTCGTCTCGCGGCCCTCCTTCACGGACTCTGAGCCGGACCTCAGCGTGGAGGACCGGGCCGCCTCCATTGAGCTGGCTGTCCAGAAGAATTCCCCCCTCGAGGACGCGCTCAAGAGAGAGAAGCAGTGAATCGAGAAGCATTCTGTCTACGTTGCTCGGCATGGCAAGAGGGGGGGTGCAGGGGGCGCCTGCGCCTGCGGTGGCGGAGGAGGAGAAGGCGGGGACTCATGTACGTCACAGTGAATCGAGATGGATTCTATCTACGTGGCCGGCGTGGCAAGAGGAGCCGAGGGGGCGGCGACGGATCCAGGGGGCGCCTGCGCCTGCGGTGGCGGAGGAGGAGGAGGCGGACTCGTGTACGTCAGTACGTTTTCTGCCCACGAGCGTGATCGCGCTTGTGTTGGCGGTAGCAGTAAGGTAAGACATGTCGCATGTGTGTACGTGTGTCACGGGACTTGAGAGGCGGGCAGCTCGCACCAGGCACGCAACGCACGCGGCACGGCACGCGGCGCGCGCACTATTCCAAACTCCAAGCTCCAACAGGAACACCAACAGCGAACAGGGCCCAACACGCGTGTATTTCGCCTAAGCGGCCTGGTGCCCCCCAAGCGGCTGCCGTCGAAGGAACCACGGATCCACGGCCGGAGTGGCTGTCCGGCGGCGCGGCGGCGCGGGCAGGTCCCTCGCCGGGAGCGCCGAGAGCGTCGTGCAGCACGAGCCTAAGTGGGGCAGCCGGGGGCGGCGCAAGGGAGTCGGCCTCTCTCCGCGCGCCTGTGCGTGGTCGAAGCGTTGACGGAGTCTCTCGGGCGGGCGGCGCCGGCGGTCGAAGGCCGCTTCTCCTGTGCCACCGCCGGCACCGTCACCTTCAAGGGGGGGGGGGGGGGGGGAACCTTTAGGCTACCGCAAAGGCTGAGCCAAGGGGAGGGGAGATAAAGGCAGCTGAACCCCATATAAACGGCTTGGAGGGGAAACCCCCCCGAAAAAGAGTCACCGTCACGCCCGTCGGCT